TTGGAGGTGAATCCCATCCTCCATCCTTTGTAGACCTTTATTTTTAGCCTCAGGAGGTTTGCTAGATCCCTGGAGAGCCGGGGGAGCTGCTGTGCCCTCCTGCTAACTTTCCTCCAAGGCAATCAAATTGGCTCATGCATTGAGGATCGCTCCCTTGAGGAGCCAACCACTCTTCCTAGACTTCTCTCCCCCTGGGGTCGTGGAACCCTTAGGGCCTCACTGACAAGCCTCAGGGATGAGAAACATATTATGACATTTAAATAATATCTCCCCCACCTCATCAAAAACCCTTTATTTAGTATTTTTATTCTTTTCTTGCAATTTTTACACCTCTTACTGATGTCAGCTGCAAAAAAAGAACTAAAAGGTGCTTCTTTTTACATCAGCTTTCCATCATCTGTAAACTACTACTCCTTGAAGATTTAATGAGCCTGTCTCTTCCCATTGTCTTAGGAATAAAGAAAATTTTGATTTCTTTTTTACTCAGTTCAGCCATGTAGAGGGCATCCATACACCATAGAGATGGATGTTTAAAAATGTTTGTACTAACTACAAGTACGATCTTGCTGGGGGAAAAAAAATGAATAGAAAGCTTAAAAAAACCCAAACAAATCAACCTGCACAACTGTAACACGGATCTGAAATCTTACAGTATATGTTCACCGATTGCATAAAATTGGTAAAACCAAGATGACCAAAGTCTTATAAATGTGATGCCATCTCGTACAGCTACTTTCTCCTGGTACAGTTTGCTGTATTCCACAAAATTAAAGATGTTTCCAAGTGCATTTCCTGCAGACAATGCAAGTTCACCACGTTTTCCTTATAAAGAAGGCGGTCTTACCTGAATATTGACAAATACGCCGTGATACGTCTCATACAGAACTTTATTTCCCTTTACAAGCAATGGAAACTCAAAAGGAATTTCTGTTTTGCCACTGGGAAGTTTTCCAGGCTTCACCATTTCTAGGGTACTGTTTATAATTTGAATGGGCTGCAAAGACAAATATTGAGATGTTTAAAATAAATTAAAAACAACAAAAAAGAATCAATCAACAACAGCGTTATGTGGCTCTATCAGCCTTTCTGAAAATTCAGAGTGCAAGCGACTTGTATACATAATTCTCCACTACTGTTAACTAGTTTAAGTTTATCTTATTCAATGTTTCTCAGCAAGGAATTCTGCAATGTCTTGCAGATAAGACTGGTAGGTTAACTATGTTAAAAAGCTAAAAAAGAGGCCCCAAGCACTTTGAAAAGCAGAGCTCCATTTTCAAAACCATAAACCTCAATAGCAGCAGGAGACATCTGCATGTGTATGTGCCCGTCACGCTGTTAGCTCTTGGAGGAAACAGAGCTCCAAGAGGCAACCTATATTTAGCATCAGTATGTCACTGAAACAATGGCAAGTTCTGATTTGGCACTTGGCAAGGGAAGCCCGCAAATTCTCATGAAGAATGCCTACACTATGTAAAAAGACAACAGCATTAAAGCAGCAAGATTAATGTCAGGGAAATGAATTTAATGAGCTCAGTACTGCTACAAAATATTTTATTTTTTACTACATTAGTCACATTACTCTTCTCCATTTTTTTAACTGCTGCAAAACCCAATGGAAATATAAGGAAATGCCCTCCCCAATTCTTGTTCAAAGATCATTTGTATAATGAAGGTTCCTACATTTGATTTGATTTAATTCAGTTTGATTCTATAAATAATAAAATTAAGGTAGTCTATACAGAAGATTATATTCTAGTCTATGAATAAGATTAAGGTAAAGTTGAAATAGACAGCTTTATATTTTTGGCACTGGTTGTTAAAGACCGCCTAGCCAGGGGAGATCAAAAATCTTCCTCGAGTTTGGGATGTTCTGGCATGAAGGAGCACTGACTAATGGAGATTTCCCTCTCTCAAAAAATAAGTTCTTAAGTTGCTCAGTTCTCACATTTGGAAGAGGGATTTAGGTTAAAAATAGGTTTCTCAATTAGCTTCCACTTCCGCTTTACTTACAAGTGTCCATTCCTAAAACTCTTTACCCTTCTTCTTGCTTTGGAATAAAAAGCACAAATGTATCAGCATACTAGGGTTCATATCCTAAACTTCTTAACGATTTTTCTTTAAATAAACTTGGTGATAAGTGAAGTCAAATAAATCTTAACACACTCTTCTACATCTGAAGAAGTGGCAGTGGAATTCTAGGCAACAGCCTAAAGTGGGAAGATGTGACTACCTATCTACAGTGGAGTAGCAGAAAACCAAATTAAAGAAAGATTCAACTTAGAAAACAGATACAATTTTTTTGTTCTCAAAAGATCAGTCTGCACTGTTCTTACCTTAACGGAGTTATAGAAAGCTTCAAACATGCCAACGCTTTTAGCACTGAGCTGAAGATTTACCGCTCCTTCCATTGTTAAGGAGATACCCTGGTGTTGGACAGTGTCCTTACTTGTTATGACCACCACTCCAGAAAGAACTTCCTAACCAGACAAAAGCAACAAGGAAACCGTTGTTTAAGTTAATTTTTGTTTTTGCTATCACTGTGCTTAGATCGTACAGAAACCCACAATATGCTGCTTGTCGCCCAAATCACGAGACATCTGTTCCTGCCCCGATAAGCACACAACCTGAACACACAAACACTGATGAAGAAGTGAGGGAGACAGGATAGAACATTACAAGGTAAGTAAGTGGTCAGGGAAACAGCAAACAAAAAAGTCTTTTACTTAAAAGCTTGCTTTTTAACAATACTCAACTTTCCACCCACTCACACACCCTCTTCCACAGCTCAAATCTCTCTTCTCCTTATCCTGACTGACAGATTGAGTTCCATTATCTTTGTTTCAATATTCTCCCTCATAAAATTTAAACATTTCCTTTTACATAAAATTAGAAATCTATTCAAAAACAAAATGTGTATGCAATTGATTCGGTCAGTCAGTTTTGTGCAGCTGCTGCCGAAGTAAGGGTGGAAGAGTGGCTTTGGAAGCTTATTCAAGAAAGTCGTCCCACAAAGTAGCAATTATAAAGAAGCGACTAACCAGGACAAAGCTGGTGTCACTGGTAGAGAAGAAGTGCAAAGAGGTTGCTTTCTCACTGTATAAAGAGATGAGGGGAGAAAAAGTGAAAGTGTGGCCATTACAAGAAGGCTGAACATGATGCAGTAAGGAAGGCAGAGTCTGTGGAGATATTAAAGGGAGAAGGAGGCAGGCTGATGTGACCAGAATGATTGTCAAGGTCTTGGCAGCTGTGTTTGGAATAGATTGGAAAGGGCAGAAGCAGAACTTAGAAAGAGCACAATACAGTAAATCAAAAAGAAAAAAGTGATAAGGATGAAAGCAAAGGAGAGGAAAAAACAGCAAAATCTCCAAGTGACAAAGAGTGGGACCAGTGGTAGTAAAGAGATGCAAGAGATTCTCAGATTGTGGACCACAGCACTAGAGAAGGTAACTGTTAACAGAGACAGAGAATCTGAGGGAACAGAGAAAATTTTGACATAAGATCAGGGGTAACCTGCTGCCATATTAAACATGAAGCGATTTAGAAGATCTCAGAGACAGCACTCCAAAATGAAGGGAGACATGTCATGAGGTACAAGGCAAAGTTGTGAATTGTCAGTATAAAGGTGAAGGTATTTAAGTGGAGAATTTCCTGTAAGGAGAAAGATTTACAACTCAAAATGGGAGAAGAACCCACCAGAAAAAGATTCTACAAGTATTGCCAGGAAGACAGGAGAACCAAGAGTGGTGACTGATCTAAGGCAACGTTCCTCAACCCACAGGTCGCAAGAATGGATGAGAGTTCCCCCCACACTGTGGGGCTGGGGCCTAGGGGAAAGGGCAACAGGTTGGAAGTGAGGGGCACTGGGTCGAGACTGGCCATCAATGTTTACAA